GATTAGACTCAACATAATAACCTGGAAATAAAATCATTTTCTAAAATAACAAGCATTTATTGTTTACTAAATATGCCACCCAAGCAAGAGAATATTAAGGCATCTACAAGGTAATCTAGTATATAATGTGGTACAAACAGAGCATTGCAAGAAGCATCTTTGCAGTTGTACTTGAAGTCCTGGGCACGGATTACCATTGTTGGTGTCCTCCTAGCACATGTGAGGGCCGAAGTGGCAGTTTCCCCACAAGGCCTGAGGAAAATCTCCATGAATGATAACCCATGTCAGTTTCTAATGTCCACCTTTTTGTAGGAGACTTCTCTTACACTTTATAGCACCTCAAAAGGTTCCGAGACTAGAGCTATTACAACATAAAGCCACTGACGAGCCTCTGAATTTGCTTACAGTTGCTACCACATCCAACGAGAAATTATTTTAGTCTGCTTTCTCTTCAAAATAATGATAAGTGCTCTTTGAAAACACTGACCTGCCAAAGACTTGGGCACAAAGAGAGAAGGCTCAGATACCAAGTATGTAATATCAGTGGAGACAAATCAAGCAGACTATTATTAGTACTGAACTTACTGAGAGGTAAGGGGCCTTATTAGGGACCTCATCCAATACCCATAGCAATCATTGGAAAGACTGATTTCAATGGGCATTTATCATGTTCTAAGCAACGATGAAGGCTGTCTCCCCAATTCCCAAAAGCACACCTTGCTCATCCTCAGCAACCTGCTTGGACTTTCATCATTGTCATTTTTTTCTTTCAAAAAAGGAATCTAATTTTTTAATTTCCTACAACGGGCATCTTGAAATACTAACCATAAATGAGAAACCTTTGTGTTGAACATAGCAATGCCTCAAAGGAAACATACATCATAGAAAATGTTGGGCTACATTCTCCTCAATTCTTTGCAGCACATGGCAGAATGCAGGACATTCATTCTGAAGGGGAAATACAGAACGAACAAACTGTAACTGGACAGCAGCTCAGGGATATCCTCTTGGTAAGGGACCATGATCAGACTTATTTTCCAGCAGTGCCCCCTTATGCCTGATAAATGACTACTTACTTAGCTGTGTGAAAAAGTTCCTCCTCTGAAGAAGGAAAAGCTGAATCCTTACATCTATGGAAGATCATTTCCATCCTTTCAGTTTTTTGGAGCTGATGAAGCTTTGTTTTCACTGACAGCAGTGTAAGAAACAGGTGGGGGCAGGAACTCTGAAAAGGAAAAGATATGCTACTCGCTGTATTTCGTGCTAGTTCATCTACACCCTTAATGTGTGTGTTACAATGGTGGTAAGAAGGGCCTACTTTCCAAGGGGCATACAACATGAAACCTTGAGCAGTAGGTTGCAAAAAAACTGTGTGTCACGTTTGAGCTGAGTTAGCAGTAGAGGTTATGCAGCTTTGTGCCAAGATCTGACTATACTGCAACAGGCTCTTTATCAAGTTCTCCTGGAGAAAGAATAAAAGGGGAGAGGTAAGAGAATTGGAAGGCAATAGCTGACTACGCTAGCTCACAGAACTTTGTGTAGATGGAATGCCTCCAACCACCAAAGATGAGAAATATGATTTTAAATAAAATCACATGGAATTGCTCTGCCTTTGGCTACACTGAAATGTCTAGAAAAACTAAACTAAGATACAAATAAGAAGCAAATCTTTATTCTAGTGAGTAGATCCAACAAGTCTAGTCTGCTCAGCAGCCATGTCCCTCAATTAGGCTACATCTACACAGCTTCCCTCTTCCACAAAAGCCTATGCAAATGAAGCACAGATTAGCATATTGCCATGCTTCATCTGCATAATTAATTAGCATCCGTTTTTGTGCAAAAACCCCCTCTTGCGTAAGAGCTGTTCTTCCTGAAAAAATGAAGAACAGCTCTTGCGTAAGATTGTTTTTTTGCACAAAAAGGCGCTGTGTAGACAGCATCTTCTTGTGCAAAACCTCTTGCACAAAAATGGACCCAAATTAATTATGCAAATGAAGCATGGCAATGTGCTAATCTGCGGTTCATTTTCATAGGCTTTTGTGGAAGAGGGAAGCTGTGTAGACATAGTCTGTGTTATTTAGAGACATCACATTCCCCACACACTCCACAGCAGCACTTTTGCCTAAACTTACTCTTTTTTCATCATCTACTGAGGGATTTAGTCTGGATCTTAATTTCCTAAGCAGACATTGCTTTCCAAGGAACTGGCACCCAAGAGTACCAAGATGTCGTCTTTTGGATTCCCCTGGTTGCACACTCATCTATGCTATTATTATGGCAGACCTCACCAGGCAGCTGTGTTAGTCAGTCTTTCAAATTCTTTTTTTCCAGTGTACAAGTTCAAACTCTTGATAAAATAAGCTATGTTGTTGTTAGTTTGGAAATGTACAACATTATTTATGAAGGCAGCTTCAGGAGAGACAGATGGTATGAGCAGCAGAGGAGTTTGTTCACATTTAGATTATGACTTGAGACAACTTTTGAGGCACAGTCATTGGGAACTAAGCATCAGTGTTGAGCTAAGAATTCCTTTTCACCTGGATAGTTAGATACTTTCATATCCCATGGTGACATAGCATCCACCAGAGTTGCACTGTTCTGTAATTTCCACGTACAACTGTTCCAAACTCCTTGTCACCTCTTCTTTGAGGGTTATAAAACATGCAGAGCAGGAATTTGTATAAATTTCTGCTTCCAGTGTTAGGTTAATTTATTCTGGGAAACCACCACATGTTGCATTAGACTGGCTCCACTCTCTCCTTGCCCAGCCAAAATAAAAATGTGTGGTTAAAGAATGGAGAGGTACTACCTGGAGGATGGGAAGAATATGAGGCCATGTTGTCCTACCATATCTTATCTCATCTATTGGAAACAGCAGAAGGGATGTCCAGAATTAGCAAGGGAATTAAGACAGAGAAGAATGGAAATGAAAAATTTGTCAGATTTCTTCAGCATATCCTGGTTATGTATTGAGAGGGTTAAAATATGTTTGTATTTACTTCTCAGATCATTCCTTAAAACAGTTCAAAGCAGAGGTCTTTAAATTTTGGGGAGCACAATAAGTGGGACTGGGGTAGCTGACCTTGCTGAGGCTCAGACCAGGTTCCATAGGAGGCAGGAAGGGAACACTGACCAGGTCCACTCCTGATCCTGACTGCCAGTCTTGTACCCAGAGTCCCAGCACCAACTGTGGGGGTCCACTCTTGCCTCTATCTCCAGCCGTAGCCCCCAGCTTTGGTCCCAACTTACCTCCTAGCCATAGGTAACTGGTGGTAGAACTTGGGATGTGCACTACCCGCCTATGCCTCTGCCAAAATTGTAATTACTTAAGTCCATCCCTATTCAGGGAAGCTCCTAAGCACATGTATGTGCCCTTCCTAAATATGTCTAGTTCCTGAATAGGGGCTAAAGTCTATACATTGCTATTTGCAATCAAAAAGTATAAAATCTGTATTAAGATTGTACATAAAATAAACGGTCCCCTCAAACATTTATGTGTTTTCATGAAAAAATGGCAGAGCCATTGGTTTTGAGGAGTCTTGCTTGATCTCCTACCGAGCGGACCCAACAGTTTTTCAATAAGCGGAACCTAAATCCCAGGAAGTGATATACATAAATTAATCCTGTCTGGATTTTTTTTTTTTAAAGAAAGAGTCTTTCCAGAGGGTAGGCAGTTGTAGAAGAGATGTTCAGGGAAATTAGATTGATACCAGCCCTTTCTGGAGTGTCTGAAGAAGCGAGGTATGACTGTCACTATTACTGGACGATGGGACATGCCTGTAGACCAGTGTTTCCAAATTTTATTTGGCCACAGAACCCTTTTGAACTCGAAAGAATGTTGTGGAACCCCTAAAAACAGTCTTATATATGGAGCTGAAAAAGTAGACCACAAATAAGTATTATTGTTATGTATTGTAGATATGTAGATTAATCTATCAGAGTCAATTTACATTTGTCACAGTTACATTTTTAAATACAAGGAATCACGCGACTATACTGAAGTAAAGTATTCTCAAGAGCACTGCCTGTGCACTCCCCTACAAGCAACTGGTTTGCGCACTCCCATACAAGCTGAAGCTTCGAGTTTGTCTGACACGGCGTTAGCATATTTGTATTCAGTCACCCACGTGATCCACACTCCCAGAGAATGAATACAGGGATTTACAGTGATATATAACAGGCGATCGCACCAGTGACTGACTGCGCGTGCAGCGCTGAGTAGTGACATCATCAGCCCCACTCTAGCTAAGCTGGCATTACACAGGGACACTTATTGTGGCAAACACAAATGAAAATTGTTTTCAATAAAATTCATAAATGTTTAAATATTAATTATTATTTTTTTAAATCATAAAATGTTATTGTAATGGAATTTTCTTGCGGAACTCTTATTTTCACTTTGCGGAACCCCAGAGTTCCACGGAACACCATTTAGGAAACACTGCTGTAGACTGTTGTTTTAAAGTCTCTTTCTCTCCAAATATTTTGTTCCTGCTGGTATAATTAACAATGTTTGGTTTTAAGAAGGCCAGATAAACAGAACAGCAAATCAGTACAAGTACAAAACTACATCTCAGTGCTTTGAGCAAAGTAATATTCCAGGTTAGAATATCAGTATTTGTGTATATAATGGTTTTACTACAGTTAACAATGAATAGGAACAAGAATGGCAGGTGTTTCCAGTCAGCAATTATGAGTAACCGGCTTGATTTTTTATTGCTTGACTCCTTTTACACTATCCATATTTAGGAAAGGCACTTTGCACTTTGCCTGACAGGAGGACAAACACTGGAAGATCAATTTTTACCAGCTGGGGAGGAAGCAGAGAGGAACAAGCGGAAACGGGGCTTATGGAGCAAGGGATAGTGCAAGGGCAGGGAAAAGAGAAGAAAGGACAGTGGGGGCAGGGCAGGACCTTGGGGGTAGCATGGCATGAGGATGGAACCACAGTTTAGATGTCTCCCCTTTCTCTCCCCCCCCCCCCCCCCCGCATCTCATATACACCTGCACAAAGTGAATGCTTTACTTCAGAACTTATGAGCCTGATCCAGGAATCACTACCTAAAATGCTATGGCCCATGTTATGCAGGAGTCTGACTAGATGATCATAATGTTCCCTTTTGACTTTGAAAACAAATCTATACAAACTTTACTAAAAAAGAATGGTAGCATTTTTACATCAACTTCTCATAGGATGAAGAATCAGGTAAATTGGTGTTATTGTTTTTGTTGGCTGTTGTTGCTGTGAGTGGTTGATTTGCTTTTCCCCCTTTTCATAATAAAGGCCTGTCTGGAAGACTAGATTTACACTTGTGTCAGCAGAATTCCACCTAAAAATAGCCACGTATGGTACCGTATGGTACCTTGTTCTATAAAAATTCAATTCCGTTCTTCTAACTGTTGGGGTCAAATTGGCTCTTGAATACTTGCACATTGACTTCAGTGACTGCTGAGTGGAGAATTTGACCCTTTATAGTTAGCTGTCCAAATTGAACTTTTAAAGTTTGAGTGGCTGCCAAGGTTCCAATAGCAGCAATGCTTTCACTCTGTAATAGAAAGTACAAAAGTCAACGTACATGAAATAAGCTTGTTCTGTGCATTAAATAGAAAGTGTCTGCAAACATGGTGAATATTAATGTTAAACAGTATTGGCCTGCACAAAAGAAGCAGAATTAAGCTTTTTCAGGCCAGGTATTTCCAACTAAGAAAATTGCACAAAACACTCTTCTGCAAGATATATAATTTGCATAACCAAGAGATGGCAGCACTCTATCAACCATTTACTTGCTGCATTCATTTGAAGTGTAATTATGTGCCTGTAGGCACTGTACTTCAAGTATGAACAATACTATAAGGAATGAAAACAAGTTATTCACATAACAAATGGAACTAGGCCAAACTTTTTAAAAGCATTGTTTCCAAACTTTTTAAAAGCATTGTTTTCTCTTATATTCACCAGCACATTACTTAGTATCTTAGTCTCACTAAAAATAAGACTATATGGAGATGTCAAATAACCTTCATAATACCAGAATATAAAATAGACCTTCTCAAAACACATTTCCAATATTATGTATGATTTAATTACACTTTCCTGGTACTCAGAATGCTAGAGCAGTCCACAGCTATTTCTCAGTAACCGGGGAGTTTGATCTCTGGAAATAAGCTAGAAGATTTGGACACAGTTATTTAAGATACAATTCTGTAAGGTGCTGAGTACCTGTTGAGTGTCTTCTGCCAGGCTGATTTTGAAAGGAGTTAAGAGTGCTTAGCCTCTTGAAGAAGCATTCAGCACCTCACACCGGATCAGGCATATACCAGGTGACTTTGCAAATAGTGACATGAAAAGATTTTGCCATTTTGCAGCCCTTTATCTTACTATAAAAGGCTAGAGAATGTACAGAAAAGACCATAAAATCTGTTTAAAAGAAAAGGAATCATCCTCCCTAACAGCATGGGCAGGGATATGAGGTAAGAATGGAATATAATGTGGCCAATAAGAAGAGGGAAAGTAAAATCAGAAGTTAAGAGGGAGAGAAGTGTTTTAAAGAAATTAAATGTTCTTTTTGTTGATCTATTAATTTGTTATTGTGCACTGTATGTCTCTAGTAAGAGAGAGATGGAAACAAGAACCAGAACCAGTGCAGAACATAAAACACAGTTACAATAACTATTTGCATCCATTTTCTCCCTCAGATTTATTTTCTAGTTGTAAGCACTCCGAGAATATAAACTCTGTTCATAATCTAAAAAAAAATCTCAGAGAAGAAAGACACAAACACTGACCACAGTTGCATGGTAAAACATAGTTACTATCTTTATTAGTGTAGGTTGCATTTCTTATTGTAAAAAAATAATCCAACCTGTTTAGCCCTTGTTTCCATTTTGGAATCTGTTGTAACCTGATCCTGGTTTCTGCCTGGTTATTTGTCATTAGCTACAGAATAGAATACGCAAACAAATGTCAGCCAATAAGCAAAGGGTAGAGAACCTTTCTGGGTTGGGGGCCACTGACCCACAGAAAAATCAGTCTGGGCCTCACACAAGTGAGAAGTGGAAAAAGCCTCTCACTGTGGCTTCCAACTGAGAAGGAAAAAGACACTCATCACATTCCCCTCTCACACCAGAGACTAGGGCAGGGGTAGAAATCGGGTAAATATTGCATTTCATTAATATCAGCAGAACTGACTTAAATGGAGCCTGTGTGTTGTGTAGTCTTGCCTTAATCTTTGTATTCATGCCTGTCAGTGTGAGAGAAGTTATTTATATATATTTGCTTGCCTATGCAACTACACTTAAGTTGAGGCCCTCAGCATGTTCTGTAAGTATCAGTGTGGCCCCTCGGGCTTTCAAAGTTGAGTTGCCCTAGCTCATCTCTGACAAGTGTCTGTCTAACCTGGTCTTAAATATCTCCAGTGATGGAGATTCCACAATCTCACTAGACAATTTATTCCAGTGTTTAACCACCCTGACAGGCAGGAAGTTTTTTCCTAATGTCCAACCTAAACCTCCCTTGCTGCAATTTAAGCCCATTACTTCTCATCCTAACCTCAGAGGCCAAGCAAAACAATTTTTCTTCCTCTTCCTTATGATACTCTTTTAGATACTCGAAAGCTGCTCTTATGTCCCTTTTTGGACTTCTCTTTTCCAAGGTAAACAAGGCCAATTTCTTCAGCCTTGCCTCATATCTCATGTTCTCTAGACCTTTCATCATTTGTGTTGATCTTCTCTGGACTTTCTCCAGTTTCTCCAGTTTCCTGAAATGTGGTGCACAGAACTGGACATGATACTCCAGCTGGGGCCTAATGTAGTTGGCTCATTCCCTGCCTAGGGGATGTGAGACTGGGCGGGTTAATTTTCAATCCTCCTGTTTATTCTTTTCCTAAGCCAGGAGGGCACAGTCGTTCTGATGGGGGCTCTGCAGGAAGGCAGCCCGCACTGCCCCCTGCCTGAAACCTTGTGCAGGTGTTAAACAGCTGTCCACCCACCCTAGAGGTGACTGCATTTTAGCATGCCTGAAGCAACATTGCACCAGCAATGGACAGGAGAATGGCTCCTGGGCATGGCTTGCTCATGACTGCTTCAGTCCTGTTAATGGACCTCAGCCTCTTTCCTTCCACTCCCCCGCTTTGCAATGGGGCTGTAGACTCTGGGGGAGAGGGGTGAAGACAGGCAGAGGTGTCTCCCTGCAGCAGATGTAGACATGTCTCTGTATTAATCATTCTCTCATTGAAGTTTTTAGCTTTGTAGTGAGTCCTTTTACATGGAAACTTTGTATTACGTCTTGGTAGAATAGTACCTACGACAAGTGAGGCAGAGACTGTCCCTGTGGGGTGAATGAGGTGGGAATGGATAAGGCGGAAGGTGAGCACCTCTGAGCAGTTGCAAAGGTTGGAGAGGGGATGGAAGTCAGATCCAAGATCAATGAGCCCTGGGAAGTGGGCCCATGAAAGGAGACTGGACCTGTGGATGCCTTGGGGGTCAGCAGCCAGGGCCTGCTTTGGGAAGCCCCCTCTTTGGAGGTGAATGTGGCAGCATTGAGGCGCCACAGACACTAACTGCAGATTCATGGAACGGCTCTCACAGATCTTGCACATGCATAAGATGATAGATCTGCAGTAGGGGAGGCAGTGGCGTAGTGAAGGGACCCGAGCCGTCGGTTGCCCCTGGGAGAAAAACAATATAAAATGTAGTTAAAAATAGATGTCACACGTTTTTAAAAGGAATACCATATCTCCTGCCTTTTGTCTATTTTTGTGTCTTTAGGGCCCCAGTTAAAATTTTTAAAAGCACTTGAGTGACTAAAGTCATTTTTGAAAATTGGACTTTGAAAATCTGAGCTTAGAGTTCCAAGGTAATTAAGCTCCTAAAGAGACAGTTGCCAACTCAGATCTTCAAATCTGGTCATAAGTGTCCTAGTCAGTTCTGAACGTGAGATGTAGGAGCCCAGTCCTAATTCCTTCAGGCTTTTTTTTTTATTTGAACATTTATCTACACTAATTCCCCTCCTTTCTCTTTCACTATCCAATAAATGCATGGATCAAAATTATAGGTGCTTTGTGAATATGCCGACTTGACAGTGGAAATATTTCATATTGTGATGTATGATTCCTGGTAACCCATTTCAAATATGAAAAACTAGGTTGATACCTGTTCATATCACAAGCTGTTGAATACAGTTCACCATTTGCAGTATTTCATTAGGATGTTTATTGGAGAAGATATTGGGGGTTTTTTCTTTATACTGTGGGCAAAGCATGGGCTCACAAGAATTCCTCCATTGTTTTACCATGAGTCTCAAAACATTTGGGCTATGCCTACACTGGCATGATTTTGCGCAAGAACTCTTTTGCAGAAGAGTTCTTGTGCAAAAACTCTTCCAGAAGAGAGCATCTACACTGGAATGTACCTTTGCGCAAGAGATGTGGTTGCACAAGAAAGCTCTGATGGCCATTTTAATCATAGGGCTTTCTTGCGCAAGAAATTCATGTTGCCTGTCTACACTGGCCTCTTGCGCAAGAACAGTTGTGCAATAGGGCTTTTTCCTGAGCATAGTTCTTGTGCAAGGAGCATTGATTTCATACATTAGAACATCAGTGTTCTTGCTCAAGAACTCGCAGCCAATGTAGACAGGCAGCAAGTTTTGGCGCAAAAGTGGCTGCTTTTGTGCAAGATCGTGCCAATGTAGACACAGCCAACGTGTTTTTCTAAAGGCCTGGAGTCAATTGATTATGTAGGAATCTCAGCTTTAATTTAAAAAAAGTTCTCTATACTTCTGGGCCTTACAGCTAAGGAGGAAACCTTTAAAACGTGAACCCTAAATACTCAACAAACAAAAGGCCAATAAAAATCCAACGTTTTATTTTTTAAAAAATCTTATGATTTGTAGACCATTCTCATAACTTTGTGTAGGCATTCCTTGTGGTTTGGGGATTGGCAATACTGCTCTTTGATTGGTGAATTTAGAGAGGTCTCTCCCTTCAGTTTCCCTTTTCACCCTCCTTTTTTGTCACAGGTCATCAGAGAATCATAGAGACAATGGAGAGTAGGGTGAGTCCATGACTATGGTTAATGACTGGTCAGGGTGACTATTATCAGCCAGTGGTCTGAATGAGCTATCTACTGCCATCTGTTAATCAACTGTAGGAAAAGGCTTCACGAGCAGACCTTATTTATATAGCCAACCTACTTTATCTGTTAATCAAATGTAGGAAAAGGCTTCACGAGCAGACCTTATTTATAAAGACAACCTACTTTTCCACAGAGATCAGTAGACACACTTGTTGTGTCAAGGTGACCAATTTTGGCTCTTTTGGGTTGAAATTCACTTAAGACTTGGAGCTGGGAGAATGAAATGTTGTTATCCATATTGTATGATTAAAAGGTTAAGGACCTGAACTTAATATGACCTGGCTTAGGGTTTGCCTTAATTTGAACATGAAGCAGAGGATAGTGAGTCACATCTAACTGAACGTCACAGAAGATGGAAACAGGTTTTATTTCTGGTGGTGTAGAGTCTATTTGGGAGTCCTCAATTATATCTGAC